CTTTCAAGCAATCCCTTCCCTTCTTCTCCATGGCTTGCACCACAAGCCATTAAGATATGCCCAGGGGGACTCTGCTGTGAGGACCAGCACATTGTGAAGGCCAAAATCAACTTTCCACTCATTCTCTACCCTTCCCTGTGCATACAAGTGTGCAATAGTGTCAGTCTCCAGCATACCCAGATCCAGGGGCTAGGCAGGCCATGCTGGGGGGTAAGGAAAGTCCCCTTATTGCTCGGTGTAGACCACGAGTCTTCACCATTTGCCTTTTCTATATATTTCTGTAGCAGGGTAAATTTTAGAAACATAGGGCTACAATGAGGTTAACCAACAATAGCCAACAATAAAACACTGAGCAAACATCATTTGTGTTACACTAAGTTTGAGAAAGTTACTTAAGAACAATAAGCGAACAATAGAAAACGGTGCTGAGAGATACTGAATGCTTGTCAAACACAGGCAGGCATAGGCCCCACCCCATAAGAATCAAAGAAAGGTTAAAGATAGGGAAGAGGGTTGCAATATGGAAGCAAAGTGAGTAGTGAGGATAAGCACATGGTGGATTAGCTACAGATTTATTAATTTGTTTTTTAAAAAGATATAAAACTAAAAAGTTTCCTCCCCAAGTCCTTCCACTAACATCCCAATCACTATAGACACTCCCCAGCCCCCAGTCACTTAGATCCTTAACCTGGGTGTCCTCTTCAACTTGCACCTCTCCTTAGAGCGCCTTTCATCCAAGCAGTGTCTCAGGGCTTGTCCACATGGAGACTTAGTGTGCAGCAAGCTGAGGTGTGAATGTACTAGTTTTTTGACTGCAAAATTTTTAGTGCATGGCAGCAGGATCAACATGATGACTTAGTTGACAGCAGGCGAGTGTGGGTAGATTTACATCCTGCCTCACTGTGTGTGATGGGTAGGGCTACACTCTATTGTAAATCTGGGTTTGCGGGACCTGGGCTTGTGGACTTGTTTCCAAGCCCACACTTGAGTGTCCACAGTGCATTGTAACACCAATTAATAATTGCTGGGCCTGGGTCTCACAACCTTGCTAACACCTCCATACTGCACTACTCACACCTTATGACAACTCTGTGGCTTGACCTGTGTCCATCACTGCAAGATGACAGGGCTTGGGCCTGAGTCATAGTGGGACTCTGGTTCTGACCCACACCCCAAGCAGGGTTCTAGAACCCAGGTCCTGAGTTTTTGCTGATCCATGTGTGGACAGAAGGGTAGGGGTTGGGCTCCAACCTGAGCCAGAGCCTCAGCTTATTGTGCAGTGTGGACATTCTGCAAGTCTCTGCGTAGAGAAACCCTAAATGTGTTCTGCATCACATCTTTAAGATAGCCTTTTCTGTCTCCCCACACAGCTACAGATATCACCCAAGCCCTCCATCTTAATTATTGCCACATCCTTTCCACCAGCCTTGCCCAATGCAGTCTTGCTCCATTCATCGCCATTCAAAATGCCACAGCTCAGTGGTGGGCAAACTTTTTGGCCCGAGGACCACATCTGGGTATGGATATTGTATGGCGGACCATGAATGCTCACAAAATTGGGAGTTGGGGTGTGGGAGGGGGTGAGGGCTCAAGCTGGGGGTGTGGGCTCTTAGGATGGGGCCTGAAATGAGGAGTTCAGGTGTGGGAAGGGGCTCCAGGCTGGGGAAGGGGTTGGGTTGTGGGCTCCAGCTGGGGGTGCGGGCTCTGGGGTGCAGGAGGGTGCTCCAGGCTGGGACTGAGGGGTTCAGAGAGCGGGATGGGGATCAGGGCTGGGGCAGGTGGTTGGGGTGCAGGCTCTGGGCAGCACTTACCTCAAGCAGCTCCTGAAAGCACCAGCATGTCCCCCCCTCCCAGCTCCTACACAGAGGTGCGACCAGGCAGCTCTGGGCGTTGCCCCATCCACAAGCACCACCCCTGCAGCTCCCACTAGCCCCGGCTGCCTCGGACCCCACTCTCCGGTAGTAGCTTGAGGGCCAGATGCAGCCCCCGGGCCGTAGTTTGCCCATCCCTGTTCTAGCTCATTACTTCAACTGTGCCACCTCCACCAGTTCCCTGTACATCACATCAAATACAAGCTGCTGCTTTTCCCTTCCGATCCCCTGGCTACTTTTCTCTCCTAGACTATCAAGAAGTTGACACCAACACCTGCTCAGCCAGTGATGACAGCCTTTACTGTCCACTTCTTACATTTTCAAACAAGCACCTTTGTGCTTTCTCCTATGCTGCCTTGCACCCATGGTAAGAGTGCATGTAAACATCCACAAAGCCCTTTCATTATCCTCTTTCAATTCCCTCTTTGAAACTTTCTGTTGCTGTGGTGTTAACAAATTAACAGTTAGGGAGCTAGTGTGCTGAAACCATTTTGTTTTCCTTTGCCCTCGTCTGGCTGTATCCGGATATCTCATTTTTGACTTAGATCATAAACTCTTGGGGCAAGGAGCATGTTTTTGTTCTGTTTGTATAGCACCTAGCACAGTGCCTAGGCACTATCACAGTACAATACACAATTTACCCTCCTCTGTCTTCCCTCCACCACAGAACACTTTGGACTTCTCCCACAGCAGTCCCCAAACTCATTCCAGTATCCCTACATCCCCTCCTCTTTTAATGTTCAATCCCTTCGAACCAGGAAGTGACACATTCGTAATTCACATTCGAAAGATAAAATAAAGGTGGTTAACTTGGCTAGTTTCCCATCCCAGTGCAAAAGTAGTGGGCCATCAGAAGTGGCAGTAGCTTTGTGGACCAGCTCTGGAAGCTATCACAAGAGCAGGGGGCAGGTAGCATGGAAGAAAGCAGATAAACAGGGCATGGACGCTGGCATTGTTGACTGGGTGAAAGGGACAGGGAGTGGAGCACGAAATAAGAAACAAGACAAGATTTGTAAGCAGGAGAGGTAGAGTTATGTTTTATCTATTACAATTAGTAAGCTCACCTCTCCGATAAACAATACAAAAGAAAAAGGTTTGAGAGGATAGTTAGCTCAAGGAAGTAGATGACAAACATTACACATTAAACAGATTGACAAATACTTCCCTTTAAACAGGCATATGCTGGTCTCTTCTCCCATTCAGACAACACAATGTATTTATGTTCAAATATTTTATAGAAAAAAGGCTACTTCTCACATCAGCTCCTTAAGATTATTTCTATCTATAAATGCAACAACAATTGAGAATTAAGTCTCATCTTCTTGTCTTTAATTCCTCCTAATGTGTCTGAATCTGATGCAACAATCACAAGTCCTGGCAATAGCTGCTACAGGGTGAGCAAAGCAGAGATATTCAACCTCTACTCTGAAGTGACTTGCTTATAGACAATTGTAAATTTGTCAGACCCTTGGGATAAAATTTATTAACATAAATGGGGATTGCATGATTAAATCACTGTGCATTGCACTGAACATTTAGTTGTTAATGTTACTTCAACACTGGGTTTAGGGTGATTTAATTTCCTGGTTTTTGTTATAGTAATAAGAAAGGCAGGCAAGAATTTTCAAAGCCATCTGGAGGACTTAAACATCTTCTTCCATTAATTTTAACATAAGATGCATGTCTAAATCCCCTAGATGGCTTTGAAAATCTCTACCAAAAAGTCTCCCATAGAACCAGTATGAGAATTAACTCCACAGACTTTAATAACCTGTGAAGTTTATGCTATTGTAGTATTTCTCTGACTGACAACTCTTTATAAAACAACACAGTCCATCACAAAATAAATATTGAAATTTTGTTTTACCATAACAGTTCAATGTGAGACCGTCCCATTTAAGAGAAATAATTTAAAAAACCCAACAGTTTAATAAAGTGGATTTTTGACAGAGAAACTCAAGTGCTTGTTATTGGGATCTGTTCTAGAGGTATGCCATTCTGGCAAAATTTTCAAACCTGCATGCCAAAAGTGAAGCTCCTTTAGAAATCCCAGCACTAAGAGCGAGGCATCCAACTCTCACAGAATTTCAATAGGAGTCAGGCATCTAACTCCCTTAGGCTCTTTTTGAAGATTCCAGGCTAAACTTCCAAGTCTGTCTTCAGGCATCGAGATGGAAGGATGGCCTGATTTTCAAAAGCATAAAGAATTTGCAGCTTCTATTGACTTCAACAGGATTTAAGAGGGCTCAGGGTTTTTTGTGTTTTTTTGGATAATCAGGCTATTTCTATTTAGCTGTTTAAGGGCTTGTCTTCATTACTGTGCTAAATCAGCGCAGCTGCACGGACATAGTGCATGTGGTTAAGACGTGCAATGCTGATAGGCGAGCACTCTCCTGTTGCATAATTACTCCATCTCAGTGAGAGGCAGAAGCTACATCAGTGGGAGACTTTTTCCACAGCGCCCTTAGTTTACCTAACTTACATTGCTCAGAGGGGTGGCTTTTTCACACCCCAAGTGTTGTAAGTTACATCGACTTAAGCAGTATTGTAGACAAGCCTTACATGTGTACTTGCAGGTTAGGCTCTCAAATCTGAAAAGTTTGGCCATAATGTGCATAGCAAAACTTTACTATGAAAAATAGCACTACACAGATTTTAGCGTTTTTAAAATGACCAACAAAAAATGGGATCTTGACACCCTGCTGACTGGCACCATTTAGTTAAAAAAAAACAAAAAAAACCCATGCCTCACTTTGATGAAATTTATTATTTTGTGTCCCGTCCCCCTCAATAATCTAACTATTCAACAAAAACAGCAAAAAATGTAGAAATACAAAAAAGTAACCATCTATTCGTAACATTACTGAAAACTAAACTATTACATTTTGTTAAAGTTTCTCCCAGTTCAAAACCTTGCCTACTTAGTTTTACCCAAAGCAAACTGTCAGCCAAACATAAACCGCTTGACATCAGAATAATAATGTATTATAATATGTAAATAAAAACAACTCTGATAGAGATTTAACACTAGGGGTCCCTGCTATACTAATATCAGGATCAATTTTCAGCTGATATATTTAACAATGTCCTGAGCTATCACATAAAATTTCATGTTTCTTTGTCTTCCAGAGGAATTGGAGCAGAATTGCAGACCAACAAACGAAGTGAGCTGAAGGCAATTTGACCAATGTCTTCTGTGTGAATTCCACAGAGGCTGATGAAGCATGTTATCAGGTCTCCAAGGTACAGCACAGTCAGTCAGTTGTGCCATAAAATTAAGAAATTATTAGAGTAAGCCATTTCCTTGACCTTCATGAATATGCCAGGAATACAGAGAAGTCTTGCACTCTGCATTAAAGTACATCTTTCCTAACTGGCATACATTTTATTAAACATATGCCAACTCTGCCAAATAATCAGGAAGTGCATCACCCTAACACAAGGGCAGAGACTGGCTTTTAAGAAGCTCCACCTGTCTCATGCAGTCTGGTATCGTAAACTATTTCTGTGTCGCAGAGTGCAACATAGTGTTTGAAGGATAGACAAAAAGGACTAAGATGAAAGTGATTTCAAAGCAATCCTGTAAGCCTTTCTTCAGGAATCAAAATCATATAGAGACTGAAATAAATGGACAAGAGTTTGAAATAGGCTATAAAATATCATGGCAAATTTTAATTTATTTATTTTGTAGGAAAGGATCTCAAGTAAATGATGCTTCCTAATAAGGCACATGACAATCTCAATTATGAGACTAATTATTCTATGCACTGTGTGCTGTTTTATATTCCCAGCAGAATGTTTTTCATCTCATCAAGAGTTTCCAAGGCTGTCTAGTGTTTCTGTATATGCAAAACATATTTGAGCTTCACTCCCTCCCCACCCCCCCAGCCCAAAGCTTCACTAATTAAAAAAGCCCTGTCAAGTGGTCAGACAGACTGGAACTAGAGGATTATAGGTAAGAGGGATGAAATGAAGGGTTGAAAGCTACAATTTCTCTTTCTGTGGTAGCCGCAGAAGTAGCTGTTCTAGACAGGCAAATTAAAAAAGCGGCTGCCTAGGCTAGCAGGCTTTGTAATATCTTGTTCCCCAACAGAAAGTCATCCAAACCCCACTTGTAAGATGCAGTAACTTCTGGGTTGTCTCTTTCTCCCTCTTCCCATGCAAGCACTACACCCTCTGGCTGGTTTCCTTCCGGTCCTTGCTCACTGATTCCATTCCTTCCATTCCCTCACTTTTTTGTTCTGCTGTGTGAACAGTCATTCCTCGGCTTTTGACTAGTGTTCCATGCTGGGAGCTCCTAGCAAACAAAGAGAATACTTTTAAAAAGGAGAGAAATTGAAATGAAGAGGGGAGAAACAATCCCATTCTATCCACTTTTGTATACACGGTTAAGATTGCGCAACGTGAGAGATTATTTATACGCAATGTTAACCACATTTGGTGATGGGGGGGGGTAGAAAGCTCTGTCCAGTCAACTGAGATACTGAAAATTCCCTCTCAAAAGTTCTTTAGGAAAAGACAAATGTGCATGTAAGAAATATGGTGAAGTAATTATCTACTTGTAGCTGAATATTTTCCGACAGAATGGGGGCTTCCTGTCTCCCCAGTCCAGTTTCCAGCCTATTTACTCTGAATCTCACAGAAAAAGTTGTTGTGTTATCTTTAAAATGATTTGTCACATGATGGAGTGTGTGTTATTCTCTAGTACTGCAATTGCTTGAAGCTCTGTGGGATACTGCACCCAAAGAAAGGTGAACCACTGTAAAAACAAACATACATACGTGAAAAGCTCAAACTTCAGCCCAAATTCTTAGTTCTACACCAGCTGCAGATTCCCCCAGAACATGGGAAACCTTGGCTACCCGTTTAGGACAGCTTTCAGGCCCCTTGCACCGGCAGAGCCAGGATTTGTCCCCTTTTGTGCCTGCATGTTTATATTGTGACATCATCCCATCTGTCTAGTCAATTTATGTGTGGGGGTCTGCAGTCAAAACAAATTTATCACCTCAGATTTGCTACTGGTGTGTTGCCTAGGAGCTGGGATTTCAAACATTGCTGTAGCTTTTGATTTTGTTGTTGTCATTGTCAATGATAGTGCTGCCACTTACATGGTGTCTTTCATCGGAGGGTCTCAAAAGCTCGTTATGAGCATTAAGGAAACCAGTTTTACAGAGGAGCTGTGAGGCAAGTAGTGTATCCATTTTATGGATGATAAACAGAGTCACAGAGGTTAAGTGATCTGTCCTAGGTCATACAGTGACATTTGATGAATTCAGACAGTGAATTAGTGATAGCAAAGCCAGCACTTTGGGTGGGACTGTGAAAATTCATTTGCGGGCCCCCCCTTCACTGTGATCATCAATCAACTTGTGGTCCACACTTTTGCATAGGGCCAAACTAAGAGCATGGGAGATTAGCAAAATGATCCTCTGGGCTACATCCAAAATTTAATCAAGTCACATTTTATAGAGAAAATACAGATTTGGTGAAGATCTTTAGGTTCTTCCCACAGATCCTGCTTCATAAACTGGACCCTGCTGCTTGTTCCTTTCAAGTCTAGTGATTAGCTGACATTTAGCATTGGTTTAATAATTTCCAAACTATCTTCAAAAGGAAGAGGGCCAGGAATTTAAGAAGGGAGATTGTATTTTTACATTTCTACTTCAATCACATTACAGGGGTCCAGGATTTTGCAGTGGGTAGTGAGTGGGAGGAGGGAAAGGATGGCTCCCAAGAGCCAGAGCAAGGAATCCGACCCAGGAGTCAAGGCTTCCACACCAGTGTTTTGTTCACTAAACAACACTTAACTGCAGCTTTTGACTAGCAATGCTGATTTTTGTTGGTATTTTGCCTTTCAATCTCAGCCTCTAAAGAATGTAGTTTTTAGAATGAGGATTACATTTACGGCCTGTCAAACTTAGCGGCATTCTTTTAACAAACTCCATAAACGCTATTTAAAAATATATCTTGCATATACACTAGTGATGCAATGGTAGAGAGAGGGAGGGAGAGACACACAGAGGAGCAGGGAAGACAGGGCACAGAAAACCCTTTGGTTCTTGTAGCATAAGCAGGAAGTGGATTAACTGAAATCAAAGCCTTTCAGAATCAAGGCCTCTGTTCTGCAACTGACCGCATGTAGGAGTACCCTTGCACTCACATCGAGCCCCATGGAGAGTCAGTACATGGAGAACAATTGCCGGATCAGGGCTAAAGTCAGAAGAATACGTTCCAGTCTTAAGGTCAAACTCAGTCCTCAAACAATAACATTTGCACATGATCTCTTTAGTTTGCCTTTCAAAAAACAATTGCATTTTTAAATATTTTTTATATTCCTAAAATTTATAAAAATGCTTCTTATGCTACTGCAAAGAGATGGTACAAATCTATTATTTATTGGTACAAATTTTTAAATGAAAATAAAGACTTTCATTCAGCTTTTAAAAATGAAGAAATAATTTTGAATGCCGAATAAAAATATCAAATTTTAGCCCCAGTGGAGCAAGTCTACATAATGAAGTCCATACATGAGGAACACAGGAAAATAAAAAAGGTGATTGATGAATAGGCAATCAGTTGATCACAAAATCTTAAAATTAGCCTCTTATATTGCTCAAGTAATTTAGTAGGAGCACCTTCAATGATATATTAAAACTAGAGGCTACTGTTGACTTCTACACTGAATGCAAACTCTGAAAACCAGAAAGACCTACAAGGCCTATTAACAAAAACTCTGCAGTAATTTAGCTGTTAATGAATAAAATTATGGCTTAATGTTTCAGCAATAGACTAGAGAAAATCTAGCTGTTAATGAATAAAATTATGGCTTAATGTTTCAGCAATAGACTAGAGAAAATCTAGCAAAAGCTCCTAAAATGCCGGTCAGATGCTTAAAGCCATACTCCACTCATTGAGAGGCAAGCCTTAAAAGCCAATCACTATGTGTTATAGCAACATGTGCAGTTATAATGGACTTCAACAGATCAAAGAGTCAGAGTATATAGACTTTTATCAGAGGATGCTTACCAACAATGAGCCTTAAGAAGTAACAACACTAACAGGATTATTGTGGATGATAGAAAGAAACAGAATGCACAATTATTGTAAAGTAATGAGCATTATCTGATGTGAATAGCTGCCACTGAAGAAAACCACCACAGATGACAGAGACCTGAGTCATAAGGAACCAGTAAATGCCAGCCTATTTTTCTCTGTTACATTGAATTGCATTAGAAGATACCCAAGACTGAATCATTTGTATTGATTTTTTTTAAAAAAAATCAAGGCATCTATAATTGAACATAAGAAACTGTGATAAAAAAAAATCAAACTGCTTCACAACATCCGTAGGGATTGGATGTAGCTGTTCATCACCTGTGAACATATGACAAAGCAGCCAGTGCTATGTAACTTTAACCCATAGAAACAGGTGAAAACAAAACCAAATAGGAGCCCCCCTCCCCTCCCAAAAAATATGAAGGCTAACTCATGATTGAATGTAGCAGAAACAGAAAGCCCTTTTCACACAGCAGAATGTACTGAAAGCTGCTAGCAGATCTACAGCAGACCTTGAACATTACTACCTTATATTATATATTGCATGCACTTATGCTATACTAGATGTTTTAAACAGTGTCTAAAGCAGACTTTAAGGTCCAACCAAAGCCAAACATCTGAAGGTCATGACATCCTTTCAAGAGAAAGTTTCAGTGCTGTGAGTTTGTCAAGAGAGTGAAACTTATTGAGAAGATTAAACATACACAAAGGAGAAACTGCACCACTGCCATCTTCTCAACTACACTTGAATCAGAAAGATCAGAGAGAGCTTGGAAAGTAACTAGATACTTGTCAGAAGAACTGATCCATTAAAAGGAACAAAGGAGAATGGTAATGCTCTTCAATCAAGCTGGAAACTCACCTTAAGGTAGATAACCGACAAGTCAGTTCTTGAGGCAATTTCTTCTGGCTACAGTTGACCCTTAAGGGTCCACAAATGCCTCCAAAGATGATATTTTAGTGACTAAGGAGAGAGAGAAAAACATGTGATTACAAAGAATTAGTGGTATGAAAATAAGGCATGGTCCACATAAAATCCTGGGGGAGGGAAGGCCATTAACATTTTTTTTAAAAAGCTGTATTCAAGTATATGTGACAAACTAGAGATACTAAAAATATTCATGAGGGGCCATATTGTACCATTTACAATGGACCTCCAGTTCCACTTCCAACAAATGCTACAATAA